TTGTTTAGTCTTATATATATTTATATGTACTCCTGCATGTGAACTGGCCTTGTGGCCTTGAACTTGTGCTCGGATTGTGTGGTGACATTGTGATCCACCCTGAGCTTGCTTTGCTTTACTTGACTGGTCTTGTGACCCCTAGTTCTCCCCCACTTCGCCTATGGGGGTGTGTCAAACATTATATATATTGTTGTAGTTGTTAGGCTACAGTGGGTTAGCCTATAGGGGGTACACACTCCTAGGTTTCCATATTTGTACTCTTTTCATTCTTAGTCATTTCATTCCTTGTTCAACAGCTTCAACAACCATGATTTTCAGGGTTTTCGACAGTGAAGATTTCGCCACCGACAGCAATTTCGACTACACAGCGGCTGAATTTCAGGCGGGAGGTCATAGCACTTGGTATTCTGTCCTACCCTCGGTGTCAGGGGGGTTGTGGTTTTGTGCCCGCGCAGCTGTGCACATTTTGGTGGGCAGCAGTTCTCTTCCAAGGGGGGTGGGGGGGGAGAAAGAGTGCTCACGCACTGTTGTTGGCAGGCCTCTGACATTACGGCAGTTATTTCTGATAGTTCGTTTGACACACCCAGCACGACGGACGCACACAATGGCTTCATCAGCATCGACGGCACCAGATTCATCGATCTCTGACAACGCGTCAGAATTCCCGCCGACATGACATTCACCAGAACCATCTGATACACATCCGCGACATCGACGGTCGTCCTTCGTCGAACGATTTGAGATCGACATTCGCTTTCAACCGCCCGATTGACATCGGCAGTATCAACGGCTGACATCCCAACTCTTTGAAATTCGCCTGGTCAACGCGCTCAGCCACGCGTCAACTTGAAAGTCAACATGCTTCCGCACCGTCAGATCAGTTTCAACCGAGATCTGCAGTTTTCACGCTACTGCAAGACTCGCCTACGTATAAGGGCACCTTATTTAGAAGGTGGGAGAGTGTAATGAATGTGAATTCATTACTGTAGAGGCTACTCCTAGCGAGGACAGCCCGAACTGTTCGCGCCAGTTTGGGTTCGGCCTACACTTCGGCTCGAGCCACTTCCGAGTCGCCCCGCACCAATCGCGACACTTCCAACCCATCCACGTCCCGAGGTCCTCACCTACCACGGTTTCGACCCTACAAATGCTTGCTTCTTTATCATTCTCGTCATTCTGTAGTTCTCATCCTTTTATAAAGTCTTCCACGCACTCTTCTTAGTACAACTCATCGCAGTTAGACTCGTATTTGTGAGGTCGTGTATTGTTGCAATTGCACTATATTTTCTATGTTAATTGGCTGGCTGGAATAGGTTTCAAGAAGACATACACACATAGAGCCTGATGATAAATATGTGTAGAATTTCGAGCTACATGTGACGGTTGATTAATCAAATATATTCTGAAATTGGATATGCATAATTTTGTTTACAATGTATTCTGGAACATATACATTCCAGGAAGAGACTAGCAGCCTCTTGTGCTAAACGGAAGGAGCAGCCGTTGCCATGAGTGCATAGAGAAGGGCAGATGCATTGTAAGTGGTATGCAGGGCGATAGCTGGCAGCACGCTATTAGAGTAGACAGCGAGCAGGCCGGCGGCAATCCCAAGGGCCATGTTGGGAAAGAGGAGGGAGAGGGAGAGGTGGAAGAGGGCGAAGAGGGCTGCAGAGAGCATGGCCGCGTCGATCCTGAGGGAGAGAGAGGGAAGAGGGAGGAGAGGTATCTGACAGCGATTGATTTGTTGACTTGCAATTACAACCATGGTTCACATTACCTTGGCTTCATTACTTAGATGTACCAAGAGTGGCAAGGGTAAGAGGAAAAGAACGAGTGCTGTTGCATTGATGGGAGCGAGGCTGGGCTTTGGAGAGTCGAGCGACTGCCCCATCAAGTTATTGGTGAAAGAACATTGTCAAGCCACACTACCCAGCCTCCTGCCAAGCTTCTCACCTGCCGAGCCTCTCTTGCAGGGCTGTGAGCAGCAGCCCTCTGAAGAGCAGCTCCTCTGCTACAGCCGGTGACACCGCCACCCACAGGAACAGCTGTAGCATGTCAAAAAGCGGTAAGGCCGTGGCAGCTGTAGCAGAGGCAGCTGTAGCAGCTACATCCCCTCCGGTCCCATCAGGCAGCAACAAAGGACCCAGCAACAAACCTGTAGCACTCACACTATCCCCTCCGCTTCCTCCTGCTGCTCCTATTCCTGCTGCTAATTCTGCTATTCCCCCGGCCGCCTCCCCTCCAGCACCTGTTTTGAGAGAAATTAAAGACAAAAGCAGAGCCCAAAGAACAGGACCCCCTACAGCTCCTGCTACAGTTGCCTTCCACCAGCTATCGTCTCCCCCCGCTAACTCTCCCCTCTCCCCGTCCCCCTTACCTCCCCGCTCCCCAGCTCTTCCCCCTTCCCCTCCGCCACTACCCCGCGAAAGTTGCAGCTTGAGTGTTGCGCGGAGGGGGAACCCGCGGTCGCGACACCAGGAGAGCGCGGGGAGGACGAAGAATAGCCATTGGACGAGCGCGAGCAGGAACGGCGCGGATTGCGGAGGCGCGGCGCGGAGGATCGGGCCCAGCGGAGAGAGGTCTATGAGCGCGATTAAGGCGATTAAAGACAGGCAGAACCAGGTGATGCCGTCTTGAAAGGAGGGGGAAGGCGGGGGGGAGGAGGGCGGGGATGGGGGGAGCGGAGTGCCGGGAGGGGGAGGAGCGGGGGAAGGGGGAGGCGGGGAAGAGGAGCTGGCGGAAGGGGATACCCGGAGTAAGACGCGGGAGGAGCTGACGGAGTTGTCGCGACTACTAGAGCGGCCCGCGAAGCGCGCGGGAAACGGAGGGGGAAGGCGAGTCTTCTCAGAAGGTATACGGCGACTAACGGCGCTACGGCCCGCGGAGGGCGCCGACGACGGGAACGTGGGAAGCCTAGCTGTTCCGAAAAGGTTAAGGGGGGTGCTACTGGTGCTAAGTCCCGCGAAGGGCGCGATAGAGCTAAGAGAACGGCAGTAGAATGTGGCCATAAGAGGCTCTTCTGCAGAGTCACTCTGGTATTTCGGAAATACGCAAGCGCCTTCGACGAAATGGTCGAAACTAGCGGCGTTTGATGTTTCGATAGGACGCGCCTTCGACGCGTGGAGACGCCTTTGACACCATGTCCTGACCTGACGGAGATTTTGACGAGATTTTCTCGTCCTGGTGGATGCAAGCATAAAAAATTCGCGCCATTCTCACTAGCCCCAGAATTATCCCAAGACAACGGCCTAGTAACGCGTATGGGAAAGTGCATGCATCATTCTAATCCCTTTGTAGTGCTACATTATAGTTGAATGAACATTTCAATATCGCCAATACAAGAGTCTGAGAAGTAATATTTGGGTTATGTTCTTATTATTTCTTGAGATATGTATACATATATATATATATATATCCCTGGCGTGGAAATTAAGCTCACATCTGTACATTGTAGTACACCCCAAATCCAACATGGATCAAAGCAATTCACCGATTTACCATGTGCGCAACATTTCCGCAAACCTCCATGATACTAACTTCATGTGCAAACTTTAGATTCAGAGACCTGGCTGTAGCAGCCACAGACCATGTGGGGTCCCGTGTTTCCCGCCGTCATTTTAGGAGGCGCCGTCTTTTACGTAGTTAAGCGGCTCGCCAGGCCGCGAAAGGCGCTGAGTCTTGAATGGGAGACTGGTCGGCGGAAAGCGCGGCAGCCGCACAAGAAGCCTCCCTCGTTCTACGTGAGTGTTCCTTTAGAAAATCGGCGACTTCTTTGATAACTGGTCCGTCAACTGGTCCGTCAGTTCGTCCGCCACGTCGTCCGTCAGTCTGTCCGTCACGTCGTTCGTCAGAGTCCGTCAGTGTCCGTCAAGTAGTCTGTCAGTCAGTACGATTGTCAAGCAGTAGGCAGAAATCACGCCAGCCGTACACGTCACCTTTCCGCCCCCCCTCTGTCCTTCCGTCTGTCAGTTCGTCCGTTCGCCCGTCCGTTCCTCGCCGAACACCCTGACCGCCCATTCCTCGATTTCCCCCCCTTCGTCTTCCCTCCGTCAGCACCCATTTCTACGGATCCATCAAACTAGTGATCCATACCCATTCTTTTGTCGTCTAGTCGAATCAAGAAACCATCCGTTCCCATTAAACGGAGTGACTCTGTGAACTAAATCAACTCACCAACGTGGAGCTGAGCTTTGAGGCGCCTCGAAAGTCGTCTAAATCAACTCAAGAACCTGGAGCTGAGCTGAGCCATTTTCAGAACATAGCTTTCCACACGCCCACGTGCTGAGCTGAGCTGAACGTGCTGCTTCTGATTCACACGGATGCCCACTGAATTTGCGTGGGGTGGAGCGGAGCTGACTTCCGAGTCAGACTCGAAAGGCATCGCACACCTTGGCTTTATCTCAAAAACACTGAGTGAATCTGCGTGAATTGAAGGAGCTGCTCACCAGCGAGTGTTCGTTACAAACAAAACAACACTCCCGCCCGCCCGTCTCATGCCTTTGCAGCATCGTCTCCCTGCTCCTTTTATTGGAACGGCACTCCTTTCCAGGCTGCGCATGACATTTCTTCAGCTGAGGAGTATTTCCATCAACTCACGGGGAGTCGAGCTCTTTACCAAAGAGTGGCTGCCCGGTGATGGACGGTTGAGAGGCGTGCTGTGGTGCTGCTCTGCCTTTTCATGCCCCTGCTTTTCCCTCCCACAGGCCGCACAAGGCGTGGCTTCATCCGAGGAATATTTTATCAACTCACGGGGCGTCGAGTTGTTTACCAAGGAGTGGCTGCCCAGTGACGGACGATTGAGGGGCGTGGTGCTGTTCTGCCATGGGTACGGGGAGACATGCACGTACATCTTTGAAGGTGGGAAATGGGTATGGATGTAGGGGGTGGGTGTGTGATCGTGTGCGTGTGGGTTGACAATGGTGGGGCACCGCAAGCCATTGAGAAGCGTGGTGCTGTTCTGCCATGGGTACGGGGAGACCTGCACATACATCTTTAAACGTATGGGTGGGTGCGGATGTTATCTGGGCCGTATGGATATCCAGGCAGCAGCAGGCTACGCACTGCTAGGAGTGGACCATGAAGGCCACGGGCTATCAGCTGGTCACCACGGGCTATCAGCTGGTCACCACGGGCTATCAGCTGGTCGCCACGGGCTATCAGCTGGTCGCCACGGGCTATCAGCTGGTCGCCACGGGCTATCAGCTGGTCGCCACGGGCTATCAGCTGGTCGCCACGGGCTATCAGCTGGTCGCCTCGCCACGGGCTATCAGCTGGTACGCACTCCTATCTAACCCCCCCTCCCACCTCCTCTCCCCTTCCAACCAATCCATCTGTTCCTCGCGTCCTTCTCGCCCTTCTCCTCCCACCAGACGTGGCAGTGATGCTGGCAGCAGCAGGCTACGCGCTGGTGGGAGTGGACTACGAGGGCCACGGGCTATCAGCCGGACGGCACGGGTACATCCGCAGCTTCACTCGCCTGGCAGACGACGTGATTGAGTTCGCCAACAGGTTAAGAGGTACGCAGAGAGTTGAGTGCGGTGCTGGGGAGAGGATTAAGTGTGGTGTTCGAGGAAGGAAGGGAGAGAGCAAGGGCCACGGGTTAGCTGACAGCCGGACGGCACGGGTACATCCGCAGCTTCACCCGCCTGGCAGGCGATGTGATTGAGTTTGCTGATCGGCTGAGAGGTAGGTGGAGGAGTTCAGTGCGGTGTTGGGGGGAGGGAAGGGGGAAAACAAGGAGCATGAGTTATCAGCGGACGGCACGGGTACATCCGCAGCTTCACCCGCCTGGCGGACGATGTCATTGAGTTCACTAATCGTCTCAGAGGTAGGCAGAGGAGTTCAGTGCGGTGGAAGGGGTTGTATGCATGTGTGCTGGTCGCCACGGGTACATCCGCAGCTTCACCCGCCTGGCAGACGATGTGATTGAGTTTGCCAACCTGTTCAGAGGTATGCAGAAGGGTTAAGCTGCCACTTCCTTCCTAAGCCACTTCCCTTGGGTTTCACCAATCTTAGATTCGTCAGAGTGTTCTAAAGGCCTCTGTTTCCTTCCCACCACCCAGTCTCCCCCATTTGCCTCCTCCTTTCCCCCACATTCGTTTCCCCCCTCATTCGTTTCCCCCCTAGCAAGCCCTAGGTTCGCCCATCTGCCGTTTTTCCTGTATGGCGAATTTGTGGGAGGGGCCATGGCGATTCATTTTTTTCTAGTCGACCCAAAGCACGCTTCCTCCTTCCCCACCCCTCAATCTCTCCCTTCCCACTTTCCTCCCCCCAGGAAATCCTAGGTTCGCCCAACTGCCGTTTTTCCTCTATGGGGAGTCCATGGGAGGGGCCATGGCGATTTGTGTTCTTAGAGTTGACTACTCAAAACATGTCTCCTCTTTTACCACACACCCCCTTCCCCCCGTCCCCACCAGCAAACCCTAGATTCTCCCATCTGCCGTTTTTCCTGTATGGGGAGTCCATGGGAGGGGCGATGGCGATTCAAGTGGCAAGGAGGGACCCCACTTCTTGGAATGGAGCAGTGCTGGTGGCACCCATGTGCAAGGTCGGTCCAGTGCGGTGTAGTGTGGTTATGAGTGGTGCAGGCAGGTTGGTGTTGAACGACTGTGTTGTGCTCCGTGGCGAGTCAGGATCCCGCCCCTTGGAGCGGAGCAGTGCTGGTGGGGCCCATGTGCAAGGTCTGTACCAGTGATCTGTGCAGTGCGGTGTAGCGAGGTTATGAATGGTGCACAGGCGTCGTGTTGTGTGTGCTGTCTTGTGCTGTGCTGGCTACAGGGAGTCCATGGGAAGGTGGATGGCGATTCTAGTGGCGAGGAGGAAGAGGGGGTGCTGCCGTTCCATGGGGTCCACCAGGAACGTTCTGTCCTCTCTCTCTCGTCTCTCCTTCGTCTCTCCCTCTCCTCCCACCCCGCACTCGTCTCCCCCTCCCAGATGGCGCAAGAAATGACACCCCCAGCACCAGCCATTTTCGTTCTGAAATGCCTATCATACATCTTCCCCACCTGGAAGCTCGTGCCTGTCAGCTCCAACTCTTTTCCACCCTCCCTTATCCACTCCTCTCCCTCCTCCCCTCCCATATGGCTCAAGAAATGACCCCTCCAGCACCAGTCATCTTCGTTCTCAAATGCCTATCATACATCTTCCGCACCTGGAAGCTCGTGCCTGTCAGCGCCAACCCTCCCCCCCTCTTATCTTATCCCCTCCTCTCCCTCTCTCTCCCTCCCAGATGGCCCAAGAAATGACCCCCCCAGCACCAGTGATCTTCGTTCTCAGATGCCTCCATACATCTTCCTCCCCTCCTCTCTTTCTCTCTCCCCCGCTTCTCTCTTTCTCCCCCCCCAATCCACTCCTGTACCTCTTTCCTTCTCAGATGGCGCAAGAAATGACCCCCCCAGCACCAGTCATCTTCGTTCTCAAGTGCCTCTCATACATCTTTCCCACCTGGAAGCTTGTGCCTGTCAGCGCCAACCCTGACAACTGCTTTCAGGTGAATGCAACAGAGAACGTGACAACTACAATCCTATTATATTATCGTTATTAATAATACGACTGTTATTCTTATTATCGTTATCATTGCTACCACTATTATTATTAGTATACTTGTAAGTTGTCCTGAAGGTGATTGCGTGAGCGTGATGATTTGTGATTCCTATGTGTGTTTCCTATGCTGGATCATGCGTGCATGCCTGTTGGTCTGTCATGCTTGCACGCCCACCCACCCGTGCCCTTGTTTGTTTCACACCTGGGCAGGTGCCAGAGAAGCGGGAGAGGGCAGAGAAGCATCTTTTTGCACATTGTGCATGCTGCATTGAAGCCTTTTATGCCTTCTCAAGACTCACCATGTGTTGCTGTGTGTGTGCACACCCGCTTGTGTGCACGCCTGGGCAGGTGCCGGAGAAGAGGGAGAGGGTGGAGAATCATCCCTTTGCACATCACGCACCTGCGTGTATCTATACCGTTTCAAGACTCTCCGTCTGCATCATTCCTGCTTGTGTTCCTGTATGTGCCTGCACGCTTGTGCAGGTGCCAGAGAAGAGGGAGAGGGCTGAGAAGCACCCCTTTGCATATCAGGACAAGCCCCGCCTGGGCACGGCGCTGCAGCTGCTGCGAGTCACCCAAGACATTGGCGCGCACATGGAGGAGGTGAGAGTGAGGGGTGCAAGTTTGCATACATGCATGCGTGTCTGGGTTGTCGGGTGGGGCGCCTTGGCACGGTGCTGCAGCTGCTGCGGATCGCCCAAGACACTGGCGCACACATGGCGGAGGTGGGTGAGTGTCTGTGTCAGTGTCTGTGTGCCGCCCAAGACACGGGCGCTCACATGGCGGAGGTGGGTGCACACAGACACGAGGTCCGCCACTCACCCACCTCCGCCACGTGGTATGACCTCGTGTCTGTGTGCACTTCATGGTATTTTTGAGACGTCTCAAAAACAACCTCGCTACACATGTATGACCTCGTGTCTGTGTGCACTTCATGGTATTGTCCTTTGTATGCAAGGGCGGAGAACCACCCTAACATATGTTACCAGTATTTTTTTTTTTCCTCCACGCCAGCAGTGCCGACAAGGAGATGACGATGTACGAGGGTGCCGGCACGCCCTCACATGCTGTGCTGTTGGTACCCCACCTCACCTCTCGTCACCGCACTGCATTCTCTCCCTTCTCCAGGTCACCGTGCCTCTCCTGATTCTCCACGGGGCAAAGGACGTGGAGACCGATCCAGCAGCCAGCCAGGAGCTGGTGGGGTGCACACCGCACTTAAACCCATCCCACCCCATCCCACACCCCTCCAGGTGACAGTCCCTCTGGTCATCCTGCACGGGGCAAAGGACGTGGTGACGGATCCAGCAGCCAGCCAGGAACTGATGGGGTGCATGCATCTTAAGTCCTTTCTACCCACCTCACCCCACATTACTGTACTCCACTCCTCACCTCCAGGTCACCGTCCCCCTCCTGATTCTCCACGGGGCCAAGGACATGGTTACGGACCCAGCAGCCAGCCAGGAGCTCTTCATCCGAGCCAGCAGTGCCGATAAGGAGATCAAAATCTACGAGGGGTGCTGGCATGCCCTCACATGCGGTGAGCCTGATGACGTCATCGCCAGGGTGGTCGGGGATATTATTGCGTGGCTCAATGCCAGGAGCCTGCCGCCCGGTTCTGCGCCGGCCGGTGGTGTGGTGGATGGTACTGCGCCGCCCGGGGTGGTTAAGGAGGGTGGTGGAGGGGAGGTGGGGGATGCTACTGCGAGTGATGAGATGTCGAGTACGGTTACCAGTTAAGTGGTAACCAGCAGATTAGAAGAATAAGCAGCTGTAACAAGTACAGCAGCAGGCAGAAGTTGTGGGAAGAGTCGATTGGTCACTTTTACCAATAGTACACTTGCGGTATTTTGAGTGTATAATATAACAGGTACACTGCAATCCTCCCTCAAACTCTCAGTATTGTCTACACGGCAAAAAGAAATAACATTAATTATACGAGTACCACCTGGTACAACACTGTTGTCAAGCCTCATCTAGAACAAATAATACCGTATCATCTGATGGATCAACATACGCACAACAAATATGGAGAAAACAAAGAACCTCTACCGGATTGCTAGGAAAAGAACGTGTTGCTTCTTTGATCCTGGGTCGAACGAAACATATACCGTACAATACGCATTGGTTAGTTGCTAAAACCTAGACGGCTTGCCGCCAAGGAACAACTTTTCAAGCAATGCTGCTGGTGGCGTTGCTAGGAACAGCGGGAGAGGCAACGTCTCATGCGGTAACTCCTGGACAAGGGGAAGAAACAGCGGAACAAGTCGGGGAGAGGAGTGTCAGAGGGGGGGAATAGATTGTGCTTGTGCCTTTGCTTTTTGGAAGTTTGGCTATCCTTACTTGATCATAAAAGGCAGCAGGGACGCTGCAACGAGGAGGAACAAGAGTGTGGGAGGCGTGCGGGGGAGAGAGAGGAGGAATTCGGGCTCATGAGCTAAAGACACCTTAAATTCATACCTGTGGTCACAAGAGCGGAACAAGCAGCAGGAAAGCTGCAACGTGGAGACGGGTGTAGACAGTGAGTTTTTGAGACGTCTCAACTGTGAACAGTGGAACTCACTTTCTACAAGTGGAACAAGCACGTGTAGAGAGGGGGTTTTTGAGACGTCTCGAAGACTCACTCTCTACAAGTGGAACAAGCAGCAGGAAGCTGCAACGAGGAGTCGGAGCAGGAAGGGGAGTGGAGGAGGGGACTCGAGTTTAATTCAGAGTTGCCTTTTGAGTTTTGAGTCGACTCAAAAGCCACCTCGTTACAATGGAGGGGAGTCAGAGGAGGGAGCTTCAACCGCCAATCTAAGGCACCTTAAGTTCATACCTTTGGTCACAACAGTGGCACAGGCAGCAAGAGAGCCACTAGGAGGAGGAAAAGGCGGAACAATAGGGCAGGAGGAGAGTGAAAATGGGCAGAAAAGGCCGAGCGAGAGGGAGGAGGTGGGCTGGGAGGAGACGTCGAAGGGGGGGTGGTGGCAGCGGGAGGCGGTGACTGGGGAGCGGGATTAGGAAGTGGTGGTGCTGCTGGTGGTGCAGGGGATGATGTTGGGGATGGTGGCGGGGATTTTCCCCCAGTTGTGGGGGAGTTTGGTGGGGTGGTTGCGGAGGGTGCTGGTGCTGGTGTTGGCGCAGGGGGGGTGTGGTCGATGCCTGGGAGCAAGAGGACAAGTGGGAAAAGGGAGACATACGGGAAGTGACTGGGTTATGAGTGGGGAAGAGAGGGAGGGAAGGAAGGGGGTGTGGCTGCGGATGGTGCTGGTGCTGGTGTTGGCGCAAGGGGGGTGTGGTCGATGCTTGGAAGTGATAAGGAAAGGGAGGGGAGAGGAAAAACGAGTGGGAAAGAGAGGGAGGGAGGGGCAGATGAGTGGGTAGAGAGATGACATGGGGACGGTGTGACTGAGGCAGGTGCCTTGTGAGGAAAAAGACTAGAGCAACCGCTTTCCCCCAGACCAAAGCACTCCCCTTCTTCCCCCAGACCACTCACTTGGATCGTTGCAGTAGCGGCAGGAGGCACAGAAATCACAGTAGAGAGATGACATGGGAACAATAGCACTGGGTCAGGTGGTGCTTCCTAAGGTGCTGCAGGTGTATCCAAGAAGCAACTCCCGCACCACCCAAAGCACTCACTGGGGTCATTGCAGTAGCGGCAGAAGGAGGAGCAGAATTCGCAGTAGAGGGAAGACAGGGGGACAGTAGAAGGGCAGGTGCCTTCCAGCGGGCAGAGGAGACCAGTGGCTGATATGTCGAGGAGTGTGAGCGAGGAGAGCTGAGCTAGAGCGGCTGGGAGAGTCCCCGAGAAAGGATTGGAATGCAGGTCCCTGGGGTAGAGGGAGGTGAGGAAGAGGGAAAAAGTGGGGGCAGAGGAGGCCAGTGGCTGATATGTCGAGGAGTGTGAGCGAGGAGAGCTGGGCTAGAGCGGCTGGGAGAGTCCCCGAGAAAGGATTGGAGTGCAGGTCCCTGGGGTAGAGGAACAAATAGAGAGGGATAACGGAAGAGAGGGGAAAAGGAAAAGGGCATGAGTAAGCGCACTGGTTGATTGATGCGTGGAGGGGAAGGTTTTGATTGAGACGTCTCAAAACCCAATAGTATCACGTGGATACGTGGAGGGGAAGGGAAATGAGAGAGGGGAGCTGGGCAAGAGCGGTTGGGAGAAAGCCTAAGAGCAACGGAGGTGCCAAAAGGATTCTGTATTCTGGCCGGTTTTTGAAGACGAATATGGAAAACCCCTCATAAGTGAGACTTATCATTTGATGTTCGCCAATACAGGATGATATGACAATATGGGTTTATCTTATTTTTAACTCGACTCAAAAACCTCTTTTTGAGTCGACAAAAAAATCCTTACAAGTAATCTCTATCACGCGGTGTTGGCCCGTACAGGACGATATGACGGATATGGGGTGCAAAAGCAGATCAAATTAAATCGTACGTACAGCTTCTCAAGAAAGTTGAGATTGCCGATGGATGGTGGGAGGGAGCCTGTGAAGCTGTTGGATGAGAGATTGCTGTGAAGGGGGGACAGAAAATCAGGGAAAACTTGTGGGTCAGGTGGGTGGTGGGATACTGGAAGGATCGCCAATGGATGGTGGGAGGGTGGCTGAAAAGATGTTGGATGAGAGATTGCTGTGAGGGGAAGACGGGGTGGGGAGAACAAGTAAAGGGAGAGAGGGGCGGAAGGGAAGGTGTATGTAAGACCATCAGGTAGCCACGAACTGGTGGTGGGAGGGAGGGTGTGTGAGAAGCTGTTGGAAGGGCGATAGCTGAGAGGAGCAGAAGGGAAGTAGGGGGCAAGGGGAGGGTGGGGCGATAGGGAAGGCTGGGCGAACAGGAGTGAGAGCGATGGTAATGGGGTGTGCATGAGAAGAGGTGATGGAACAAGGCATGAGAAGAGGTGATGGAACAAGGCATGAGAAGAGGTGATGGAACAAGGCATGAGAAGAGGTGATGGAACAAGGCATGATGTAAAGGCATGAGCAGCAGTGTGAGCTTACAGCAGCTATAGAGATGCGAGGGAGGCAAAAGGCGTCTGGCAGGGAGGAGGTGAGGCGGATGGATGTGCTTGTGCTTGGAATAGGCAATAATGATGTACAGGAAAAGAAAGCAGGCGTGAGGCATGAGCAGCAGTGCGAGCGCGAGCTTACAGCAGCTGCAGAGACGTGAGAGAGTCAAAGTCGTGTGGGAGTGAGGAGGTGAGGCGATTGGGGTGTGCTTGGGATGGGAAGGTATATGTGAAGTGGAAGGAATGAGACACGCCAGTCAAGGCATGGCAGGGCTTACAGCAGCTGCAGAGTCGCGAGGGAGTCAAAGGCGTCTGGGAGGGAGGAGGTGAGGCTGATGCGTGTGCATTCATGCATATGTGCATTCATGCATATGTGCATTCATGCATATGTGCATTCATGCATATGTGCATTCATGCATATGTGCATTCATGCATATGTGCATTCATGCATATGTGCATTCATGCATATGTGCATTCATGCATATGTGCATTCATGCATATGTGCATTCATGCATATGTGCATTCATGCATATGTGCATTCATGCATATGTGCATTCATGCATATGTGCATTCATGCATATGTGCATTCATGCATATGTGCATTCATGCATATGTGCATTCATGCATATGTGCATTCATGCATATGTGCATTCATGCATATGTGCGGTGATGTAGAAAGCATGAGCAGCAGGGGAGCAGGGCAGGGCTTACAGCAGCTGCAGAGGAGCGAGGGAGTCGAAGGCGTCTGGGAGAGAGGAGGTGAGGCGATTGCGAGACAGATCTCTGGTGTATTGGAGGGAAGGGGGGTGCAAGGGGAGGGGGAGGGTGTTGCAGAGGGGATGTAATTGGCTAGACAAAGTAAGAATGGGAGTCGAAGGCGTCTGGGAGAGAGGAGGTGAGGCGGTTGCAAGAAAGGTCTCTGGTGTATGGGGAGGGGGGGAGAGGGGGGTTGCAAAGGAGTGGGGAACATTCACAGAGGTGAGGCGGTTGCGAGACAGGTCTCTCTTGTATAAGGAGGGGGAGAGGGGGGGTTGCAAGGGGAGGGGTAGGTGCAAGGGGAGGGGGAGGTGCAAGGGGAGGGGGAGGTGCAAGGGGAGGGGGAAGTGCAAGGGGAGGGGGAAGTGCAAGGGGAGGGGGAAGTGCAAGGGGAGGGGGAAGTGCAAGGGGAGGGGGAGAGGGTGGAAGGAGAGAGGAGGGGGTTGCAAGAGGGGAGAAAAGCATTGAAGTAGGAATCGAAACAGAAGGACATAAAGAGAATGGGGTGCGAAGGGGACTACAGGGTTAATGGAAGGGGACAAAACACATAGGAATTTTTTGAGACGTCTCAGAACACTCCTTTTTTCACGTGGAAGGGGAAAAAACACATAGGAAATTACACTTTGCCTGACGTCAAATTCTCGAATCCTCAAGCGTCCGCTTACCGGATAAATGAAAAAAATCAATACTTTGTGTGGTGGTGTGTCTGCTTACAGAATCTCGAGATCCCTAAGCTGAAACCAAGTTGGCGGGATGGAGCCCGTTATGTTGTTATTGGATAGCTCACTGACGGGGATGAGATGGCATAGAGGAACAGCAGGAGGAGGGATGAGAGATTGTGAGTGCTAGGTGGGAAAGATAATGTCTCTTTTCTACAAACAGAGTTTGCAGCTGATCAGGACTTTTGAGATGTCTCCAAAAGTGAGAGTTCTCCAAAAGTACCATCAATCAGCGTTTGCAGCTGATCAGAAATTTTGAGCCGTTTTAAAAGCGAGAGATTTTATATTTGCAACAAACACAGTCTGCAGCTGAAACTGAACTGAGTTTTGAGGCGTCTCTCAAAACTCGGTTTTCATCACGTGCAGTATTTTTCTACAAACGCAGCTCGAAGCTGAAACGGAACTGCCAAACGCACATGCAATGGCATAGATACATGCATGCATGTGCGTGCGATGGCATGCATGCATACACGTGTGCATGCATGGCATGGCATACATACATGGAGGTGAGGTTGGTGAGCAACGGGGACACACATGTGAGATGGCTTACAGGCTATGGTGTGAGGCTTACAGGAGTACATGCATGTGGGGAGTACAGGCTTACAGGCTTACAGGGGTGACGCATGTGTGCATGGCATGGCATAGCATGGAAACATACAGACACACACACACATGGAATGAATGCATACATGGAGGTGAGGTTGGTGAGCAAGAGGTGAGACGGCATAAGTACATGCATGCATGTATGTAGGAACGACACAAGCATGTGGCATGGCATGGCATGAATGCCTACATGGAAGTGAGGTTGGTGAGCAGAGACACGGAGAGGGGGAGGGAGTTGAAGAGCTGGTTGCTGGGCAGGGATCTGCACAGACAGGGATGGGCATGGGTAGGCAGGTGTGGGCATGGGTAGGCAGGTGTGGGCATGGGTAGGCTGGTGTGGGCATGGGTAGGCAGGTGTGGGCATGGGTAGGCTGGTGTGGGCATGGGTAGGCTGGTGTGGGCATGGGTAGGCAGGTGTGGGCAGGAGTGGGCACTCATATTAAGAACACCACATGGAGGGAGTTGAAGAGCTGGTTACTGGGCACACAGGGGCACACAGGGGCACACAGGGGCACACAGGGGCACACAGGGGCACACAGGGGCACACAGGGGCACACAGGGGCACACAGGGGCACACAGGGGCACACAGGGGCACACAGGGGCACACAGGGGCACACAGGGGCACACAGGGGCACACAGGGGCACACAGGGGCACACAGGGGCACACAGGGGCACACAGGGGCACACAGGGGCACACAGGGGCACACAGGGGCACACAGGGGCACACAGGGGCACACAGGGGCACACAGGGGCACACAGGGGCACACAGGGGTGGGCATGGGTAGGCATGGGTAGGCAGGGGTAGGCAGGTGTGTGCATGAGTAGGTACTAGGTAGGCAGGGACGAACCGCAGAGCACCACAAAGCACAACAGGGCACCACAGCACACCACAGAGCACTCCAGCGCACCACGGAGTATCACCGCTCCCCACACCGCCACTCACATCTGCTGCAGGCTGGCTCTTCGGTGCTGTGGAATAAAGCGGACAAAGAGCACTACACAGAGCAGAGCACCGCACAACACCGCAGAGTAGCACAGCGTACCACCAAACACCGCACCGCCACTCACATCTGCTGCAGGCTCTTCAGGGCGCTGATCCCCTCGGGAAGATACCCGGAAATGTTGCCAGCTGGCATGTTGCTGACGTCAGCACAGCGGGTGGGGAAGAGGGGGAGCATAACACGGCATCAACAGGCATATCAGTGTTTGTGTGCCTGCCTGCCACGTCAGCCATTGTGTGCCGCATCAGCATCTGTTGGAGATATTATGCCCTGGATGATGGCGGGATCATACCATAACGGACCGTGGCAGACAGAGCATATTCATTATAACGTATTTCGGGAGTCACAGGTCCGAATGAGACAGACATATGCGTCACATAGACGTCTTGAATAGCTATTGAGTCGACTCAAAAACATAGACGTCTTGAATAGGGAGCCTGAGATTCACGCGTGGGAGAGCATGTCTCAATTCGGAAACTCACACGATTACCCTGGTGGTTATCACCAGCCCAGTGACTACTACGAGAGTATTTTATCAGTAAACCTACTGGAGGGCATCGCACTCACATGTAGAAAGTGAATTTTACACTGGAGCTCTCTCACTGGAGAGGAGACGTGTATGTTTTTTGAGGGCTCTCACTGGAGAGGAGACGTGTATGTTTTTTGAGGGCTCTCACTGGAGAGGAGACGTCTCAAAACGTCACTTTCTACAAGTGAATCTACTGGAGGGCATCGTACTCACACGGCGACGATCCGGCCCTGATCATCGCACGACAATCCCAAGGCCTTGCTGCAGTCCGATCCAACGGCCCACGTCGGCTCCAGCTCGCCCCACGCCATCTGCAGCGCTGCCAGCCCATCGGCTGTCGTGCAACGGTGGGATGGGCGGGGATGGGTGGGGATGGGTGGGGATGGGCGTATTCACACCCGCCACGTGCAGTGATGTCAGGAATCAAGGCACGATGGCTTCAGCTCGCCACACACCATCTGCTGCAGCGCCGCCAGCCCATTGGTTGACGTGGAGAGGAACAGACAGCGATGGTTGGGATTGGGAACGGACATGGGTGGGATGGGATGGGGAACAGTCATGGTTGGAATGGGGAACGGACATGGGTGGGATGGGATGGGGAACGGTCATGGTTGGGTTGGGATGGGATGGGAGTATGTTTAACCACCACATGCAGTGTCGTCACGACATGGCTCCAGCTCTCCCCGCGCCATCTGCAGCGCTGCCAGCCCGTCGGCTGACGTGCAGGGGGGGTGTCCGGGTGAGGAGGGCGGGGGGAAAAGAGGTCGCGGAGGTGAGGGAAGGGAAAGGGGGAAGGGAAAGGGGGAAGGGAAAGGGGGAAGGGGGAAGGGAAAGGGGGAAGGGGGAAGGGAAAGGGGGAAGGGAAAGGGGGAAGGGGGAAGAAGGGAAACAGGGATCACCCCACGCCATCTGCAGCGCTGCCAGCCCGTCGGCTGACGTGGAGGGGGGATGAGGGAGGTCCGGGGGGAGAGAATGGGCGGCGTGGGGGGACGGGGGTCCTAGGGGGGTAGCGTGGGGGAGTCACTGGGATGGTATGGGTATTGAATGGATGCTGATGGGAACGCGACTTGACGACGAGAACTATAAGGGTATGGAATGGATGCTGAGGGGAAACGCGGATAGATGGAGTGGCAGTGACTTGCCGACGAGAACTAAAGAGGGGGACGGTCGGCCGTGTTCAGGTGACTTTTGAATCGACTCGAAAGCCGCCGAGCTAGCTTGAGCTAGTGCCAGCCGCGCAAGCAAGAGACGCGCAGCGCAGGCGATGCCGCGACCAAGTTCCGAAGGCAACGCCGACGGCGCGAAGATGCACAAGCAGCGATGCTACGACGAGCCAAGAAGCGATGCCACTAAGATGCGCAAAGACACCTCGGGAGGCGGCAAAGATTCGAGATTGCCGGGGATTAGATGAGGAGGGAAATAGATGGAGTGGGGAAATTAGACAATGCCGGCGAAGCAGCGATGCGGCTGAGATGTCGCAAGGCACCTTGGGAGGCGGCGATGTTGGGTTTGGCCGCGACGAGGCGCTGCTGGCCGAGAGTGGCGCTGATGAGGAGCAGAGCGACGAGGAGAGACGCAGCCATGGCGCACGATGTGAGGACAGGAAGGTCCAAGTGCTAGCTGGTCTCTTTAAGAATTATGGAAACATAATGTTGTGTTTTATAAGTTTAGACAGCCGCCCTAGCTCAGTTGGTAGAGCGCATGGCTCTTAACCTTGTGGTCGTGGGTTCGAGCCCCACGGGCGGCGACGTTTTGCCACTGTGCCGTGGAAACTTTGAAGTACAGGGTTTTCACATTCGCTTGTTTGAAGAGTCATCCAGAAAGCGGTTCCCTTTTTCCGGGCCTTGCCACTAACATTGTCACACGGAGCAATACACTAAACAGCAGTGTGTGATCAAACTACCCAACATCATCCATCCAATCCCCATTCCACATGCCCCTGAGTCTGAGAGCCACAGAGCTGCTTCTGCCTTCCTCCCACATGGCTGTTGTGTTGCTATGTATTTACAAAACACAGCCATTTCTGTCCCTTTTTCCTCCCTTCCAAATGTTCCTCATCCACCCAGCGGCCAATCCGAGCCTATCCCATTCCAAGCCCACACCGAGCCTGAATGTTTCTTTTTTCGAACCTCAGCCAGGTCCGGTCCAAGCCGGGGCAGACCAAGAGGCCGGGCGAATATCCTTGGGGCATGTGCCCTCATTGTCCGGGCGGCAAGGATCGGCACCATTCTCGAGCAGAAGGTCGGCAATTGATTCGTGCTCGCATACTGTAGCATAGTGCAGGGGAGTTTGGCCCTCGTCGTCCTGGTTAGATTAGGAGGGGGAGGGGGAAAAGAGGGGGGTAGACGATTGGATCAACAGACTTGACCTTTCATACTGGTTAGATTGGGAAAGTAGGGAGGAGGGAGTGGGGAGGAAGGTAGAGGAGCAGAACGAGCAGAGGAGGATGGTTGAATTGTGCTTGCAAGCTGTAGAATAGTGCAAGGGAGTCTGGCCCTCATTTTCCTGGTTGGATGAAGAAGGGGAGGGGGAAGAGAGGGGGCTAGACGGTCAGCAACAAACTTGACCTTGCATACTTGCATTTTGCAGGGGAGTCTGACCCCCGTCGTCCTGGTTGGATTGGGAAAGGAGGGAGGAGGGAGAGAGGAGGAAGGTAGTGGAGCAGAACGAGCGGATTGGTGGAAGAGGATTGGTGGGAGTGAGAAACTTACAGTCTGATTGACGTCAGCGCCTTGAGCCAGCAGGCACCGAGTCATGGCTAGTTTGCCTCTGTCTGCCGCCCAGTGCAGCGCCGTCCGGCCTTCGTCGTCTGGTAGTGGGAGAGACAAACAGAGAAGAGAGAATCATAAAAACGGATGATTCGAGGGACGGTATTGATGCAAAACAAAAGCGCACTTGCACAGTCAAAGATAACCCCTGTGCCATATCTCCCCACTCCACACTCACCGCATTCAACCACTCTGCACTACATCCCACCACCCTGACCGACCGCATGCCACCGATCTACACCGCATCTCACCTCTCTGTTCCAGAGCCTCCGGGTGCTGCTTTACCCACTCCTCCACTGCTGCCGTGTCCTCCACATCAGCACTAGCCAGTGCATGCAGGCGACTGGAAAGGAATACGTTGTGGGGGGGTTTGGGAAAGGGGAAGGTTGCGGAAAGAGGGGAGGAAGAGACGGGGGAGGGGGGAGGAATGGAGGCGGGAGGGGAAGGTCACAGCTGGAAGGATGCAGGATGAATGGGGCGGGAGGGGAGGGAGAAGATGCATGAAGGAGACTGAAGAATGATAGGGAAGGGGAGGAAGGAAGGCCGAGAGGGCATGAGGGGATTTTTTTAGATGTCTCAAAAAAATCTCTTGTATCTCAAGAGAGGATGAGGGGAGCAATGAGGGGAGCAATGGAGGATGAAGGGCTCGATGGAGGAAAGCGCAGAGAGTTTGTTCTGAGGGGGAACACACTCACCCGAAGCCAGACTTTTGAGTCGACTCAAAATGTTCTGAGGGGAAACACACTCACCCGAAGCCAGACCCACTGCTGTCCGCCGCTGCCATTCCACTTGCTCCGCCTTCCCCTTCCTCCCCCACCTTTCCCCCTTCACCCTCCTCCCCTCCTTCCGCCATCAGCATTGTACTCACCCCCCGCCCTGCCCCTCCCCCTCCCCCTCCTCCTCCCCCATCTCCGCCCTTGGATCCCTGAGGGGAAGAGGATTGGAAAAGGGATTTTGTGCATGAGGCAAGCTTGAAAAACTTCGCAGCGATCGAGGCAAGGTGGAGAGCAGGTAACCATGTCCCAGATAATTCGCACAAGCTCCTCCCACACCCGCTGCCCTTCGCACCATGCATTCCCTCCCGTTACATCACGTTGCAATCATCCACCCCCCCCGCCCCCGCACACACATACAGCTCACCTCACCTGGGTTCTCCCTTGATATTTCGCAAACGTGATCCGTAAATCCGCGTTGCAATCATGCTCACACACCATCACCCAGATACATACATACAGCTCACCTCGTTGGGGTTCGGAAGCATCTGCTCCACCAGCCCCACGTACTGCGCCATCGCCTCCCTATGCCTCGCGCTGCCATTGTGCCATGTACCCTCTCACATGCATGCATGCTTGCTTCTCATTCTCACCTCGTTGGGGTTGGGAATAATCTGCTCCACCAGCCCCACGTACTGCGCCATCGCCTCGTCCTGACTCATGCTCCCCAGCTTTTTCCATGCATCCCTGTAACGAGCAGAGAGACAACAGTAACGAGTACAAGTCACAGAGCAAACTAACTCGCACAACCGCTAAACTGCAGTCGCTGATGCTGCCACACCAATACCAATAGAAAAGAAAGGCTAGAGGTCATATTTTCGCTCGGTTCAATAAACTGACTCACGTTCCCATAGTTTTTGTTTTTATTTGTTGCATCAAACACAGCAAGACGTAAGGGGAACGGATGCTCACTCACCATTTCGCCCGCGCGGTAAAGCTATAGCCAGCGGGCTGTTTGGTGTCGCACGGACCGTCACTCGCCTGCTTGTACAGCGCGTACAGCTGCAGCTGCAGCTGCTGCAGCAGCCCAGGAAAAGAGTGCTCACTCACTCACCATTTGGCCCGCGCCTTGAAGCTGTAGACAGCGGGCTGCTTCGTGTCGCACGGTCCGTCGCTGGCTTGCTTATACAGCCCATACAGCAGCAGCTGCAGCCCCTCTCCAATCCGCAAATTACCCGTAGCCGCCATAGTCGTCACTAAAGCTGCCGCCGCCGAGAATCGATCCTCCGCCTCTGACGCCTCTATGCCCTCCCAGTCGTCGTCGCTCTCGCCGTCCCCCCCGCTGACTCCGTCCGCGTCACGAGGAGCGGAGAGAGCAGGAGCAGCGGAAGGGGTGGAAGAAGCGGAAGGGGCGGAAGAGGGAGGCGGAACGGAAGCGGCGGACGCGGTGGAAGCGGGCGGAGCTGAAGCGGCGGAAGCTTCTGCGGAAGTGTCGGTGGCAGCTGTAACCGTCGTGGTGACGGGGTTGGCTGAGGCGGAAGTGCTAAGGGGAGAAATGGCGGAAGCTTCCACAACAGTGGGTAAAGCGTCACTAAGTGCGTCATTAAGTGCGTCTTTTAACGGGACTGGAGCAACAGGTGCTTCCCCTTGCGACGGGTCTAGGTTTCCTTTGGAGATGAGAGGAGTGACAGGAGGCACTTCGACAATATCATCATCGCTAGTGTCACCGTGTGCGGCAAAGGCGTTGTCGTTTCCGAGAGAGCTCGGTTTGTCGTCTTCTGCCTCGTGCATCTCTACCTGATTCCATTCCTCCTCTTCCACCTCCTCGTCCTCCCCCTCCCCTTCTCCCTTCTCTTCGGCTTTCCTCGTTATAGTCATCTCGCTATTATTGAACGTAAATACAGTGTGCATGACGGTGTACATCATCCACGCTAGTATCAGGGTGAAGAATAACGGGGACGCCACGTCCTCCAGCCATCGAAACGCCAGGGTGACACCCCCCGCACCCGCCATTGATGATGTCACAGTGAGTTTCAAAATCAGGCTGCAATAATCGTGACAGTTCTTCACAGTATCGCAGGAATAGTGAATGAAAGGAAATTCCAAGTTAAGATGCGTAGAAAAGGCGCGTCGCGTAAAGGCTCCAATGCCGTGGCGCGCCTTGCCGAGCAGACAGCAACGCAAGCGAAGTCGCCTCCTGAATATATCCACCGCTTCTGTTATTCGCGACAGCACGAGCGGACACTTCGAGACGGCAACCCTGCTGCCTTGAAGCTAGCGCGATAGTAGCAAAAAAATGAAAGAAATCAACAAACGTATCGCTATCGCCTGCTCCTCAAGCTAGCTAGCAGCAGGGACAAAATTGGCTTTCTCTGTGTTGTGACATAAAAACCACGAGTGCCTCGTACCTTGGCGACTTTTCGGAACTCTCAGGGCGTATCCCTGGGTGGTGGCAGGGCAATTGTAGCTGGCACTGTTCGTGGCATGCGCATTTTCCGGGCCCCTGTGTTTTTGGGAAAGTTGCCACCAACCTTGCCAGCTACAGTGGCCCTGCCACCAGCCAGGGATACGCCCTCAAACTTCTATGTTCCACGCCTAAACATACAAGTCTTTGCGGTTAGTAATCCACCTGAGGTCTGGAATTGTGCAAAGAGAACCTATCTCTAGGGCGCTGTTCTTTTGGCCAAAAATGGCCTTCTTGGATTCTTCCATCCGCACCAGTGGTGCGTCGGTTCAGGTTGGGCATTGTCCGAAGCTGCCCGCATCAAGAAAACCGAGGAAACCTGCAGAGCAGCACTTTTGTGACACTGTACCAGAACCGCCCGTATGTTCCACGCCATTTCCTCTCCAGGCAAATGGTCCGCATCACTGGTGCGACCTCTCGAGGTAAAATCACCTCCGCACCACTGGTGCGGGGCAGAAACCAGCAGCCCATTTTTTTGCTCGTGGTAGGCTTGAACGCCCAACACTTGACCGCGTTCAGATTTCAAGAAAATCTTCTTACGTTCTTGCTGCTCGATACTCTTTCATGTGTGACTGATCAAGAAGTCCGTATCGTTGCCTTTGCCAAGATGAGAACCCTCGGTTCTCATTTCGCCAGACCGTGTTCAGAAGGGCAGACCCGAGTTGGCTGAGCTGTTCAAACGAGAAGTTTACCTCGGTTAAAACTGAACCTTCATGTGTTGCCAAGTCAATCAAAAAGGCACCTGAAGTTATTGCGAGGTTTACCAATCCACCAACGGTGCAGCGACGAGAACTCCAGCAGAACAACGCCTAGGTGGGCAACGCGAACCTAGGGACACCACCATACCTCAACTTGTTTCAGAGCGCGCTGATAACTGATTGGATAGCTTTGGTCTTTGGATGCTTGTTGTAGACGCATGCTTGTTGGCTCGCACACTGGGGGCGTCCCCTTTGTGTGCGTGCGCGCTAGGAGGATATCGACCAGCAGTATATGGCCTACGTAACTCTTAGTTAAGTTTATGTACATGAACGGGCAGACGAAAGCAAAAGATTGCGACCTCTCCTGCTACCACCCATCAGGTCATCGGCCCGGTGTAGCTCGCCTATTGGCTCCTTGCGGAGCGAATCAGCGCCTGATACAAGGCCTGGACGCATCGCAGGTGTGCTGGCTGACGGGGCGTCACCAGTGATTGGCGTCACTTGGGACAGGCGCCACGTCAGAATCAGGTAACTCGTTAACAGCAGCCACCATACCGCTATAAGAGGACATGATCCTAGACCTCATGGCTGCTATTTGAAATTGACTGATTATACTGCACCTCTCATAAAACTACGGTAGATCTGCATATGGCCAACTCGCTTATAAGCTACATACTTTCAAAAGAGGTTGGGTGAAGTAACAGCGAAAATATATGTGACATTGACAGGCACATTCTACAATGCAGTACGGATATACTAATGATTTATGTACGCATAACTGCTGCAATACATGTATTTACTTCACCTTGCCAGGTGCTTGTTTCTTCTTGATACTACCTTTCTCTTTTCCTGTGTTTTGTTTTCCCTTGGTTTTTTTCTTCGCTACCCCTTCCCCTCGCTGCTGCTCTTGGCATTCAAGCCCATTCGCCATCACATATGTCCCATCCAAACCGCAACCCTCCATTTCACCAGAACCACCCTCCTCTCCTCTTGCCCCATCACCATCACCTTCAATTTCCCCATCAACCACTGTTTGCCGCAGCCCAAAGACCTCATTTGCTGACAAAGCACCCCCCTCTGCTTCTCCTGACGCTGCTGCTGACACACACCGAGACTCAGGCAAAGCATACTGGTTACAGCACTCCATGTTACTTGCTGCACCCTGGCAGATTGGTCCCATCTCCACAGGCGTTCTGTTAAGCAGCTCAAAAGGTACCTGATCAGGTGCCTGGAGGCCCGGCCAAGGAACGTCACCAGGCACCTGAGACGGCACCTGAGGAGCCACCTGGGGCGGCGGCAGAAACGGCACCTGAAGAGGAGCCTGAAGTGGGACGGAAGACCTGTGGACGCTCTGCAGCTGTAATGGAGGGGTCTGAAAGAAGGGGAGCTGATGCAAGATCCAAGCTAGCTGTACGGGGTGTGGCATGGCATGTGGGACAACGTGTGGAAGGGCATCTGCTGATTGATACACCAATAAACTTCCTGGGAGGGCATCTGCTGTTTGATAAACCATGAAACTCCCTGGGAGGGAATCTGGTGATGGCTTCACTGCTTGCTCGCTCTCCTGTGGTTCAGCCAATGGTGACGCTGCTGGTGCTGCTGCTGCTGCAGCAGCAGATGCTGATTCTGAGGTAACTGCCTGTCCATGTAATAGCTCTGCCCCTGCTTGTATTCCTCTTGTTAGCCCCTCTGCTTCTCCCTCTGCTTCTCTCTCTGTTCCTGCCTCTGCCTCTCCAGCTGGGCCCCCCTGCATTGCTGCTTGTGTCTCTGCCTCTCCCTCTCTTCGTATCTGTACATTTTCTGCTGCTGCTGCTGCTGCTGCTCCTGCTGCTGGTGCTGGTACTGGTGCTGCTGCTGCTGCTGCTGCTGAGGCTTCCTGCATGGCGGCAGCAGCAGCAGCAGCAGCTGCGGCGGCAGCTTCAGCAGCAGCAACAGCAGCAGCCACCACAGCAACAGGCACGTCGATCAGCTGCTGCCGGTGCCGCCTCTTCCTCACCACCTTGCGCCGTAACTGCCCCGCCTCCACTGCAAAGGTCTTTACAAGCACATCCGGGTGGAAGGACACTGCCCTCTGCCGTCCCTGTGCCGGGGTGCTTGCACCCTTTGGAGCTGCAGCAGCAGAATTTGCAGCAGAGCATGCAACAGATGCAGGGTTTGCAAATTCTCCAGCAGCAGCAGCAGCAGCAGCAGCAACCGGCTCTGCCTGATGCCCCAGGTCTACTCCAAACGCCTCCTCTTGCCGTGCCTCCTTGAACTCCTCTTCCCCCAGCGCATGTGCTCTTTTACCAGCAGCAGCAGCAGCAGCAGCAGCAGCAGGAGTATCCTCCTCTTTCACCTCCCCTCGCTGCTGCACCTCTCTCACCTCCTCTCGCCCTTGCACCTGCACACAAGCCAAGTCTGCCACAACAGTAGCCTTATGAGGCGCCTCAACAGTCACGTCTTCGCGCCCTTGCCCCGGCCCACAGGCCAGTTCAGTCACCAGCATTGCCAGCGCTCTCACTTCACTACTGCTCGTGCTCAGCTTTCTAGATCCATCTTCCGGACCTGCATCTGCTGCAGCTGACGCTCCCAGCTTTGTAGTTCCGCCATCCCCTGCTGCTAATCCTCCTCCTACAGCCTCCTCCCCCTTGCTCTCCCCTGCTTCTGATCCTTCCCCAGCCTCTGTTGTTGTTTCCTTCCCCAGACCACTCTCCATATCTCCTGCAAGAAAGCTGCCTTCAATATCTGAACCGTTTTCTAGGATTTTCAAAACTGCTGCTGATCCTCCCCTTGCTCCGCCCTCCACCCCATTTTCTAATTCGTCTGCTTTTTTGCTGCCGTTTATCAGTAGAACACCTTCTGCTGGTTCTTCTGCTGTGCCGCTGCCCATTCCCCGTGCTTTTCCATGCTCTGGAATAGAGGCTGTTGCACTGGCAGCGGCAGTTGCAACAGTGGTTGTCGCAATGGCTGTGGAACCAGCTGCAGCAGTAGTGACACTTTTCCCTCCAGCATCCACCTTTCCTGTGCTCGCCCTCCCCTTCTTCCCACCTGCCTTCACCCCACTCACCTTCTCTTTCTCTTTCTCCCTCTCCTTCTCCTTCTCTTTCTTCTTCTCCTTCACCTTCTCTTTCACCTCCTTTTGCTTCTTAGGCTTGCGCGGGCTCTTGATGCCGTTCTCCCTCACACTACCTTGTAATGCATCTGCCGTGAGAGGGGATAAAGCTCTTGTCTCTCTACCGCCTTGTAGCGCATATGCCTCTAGCTGTCTCACTTCATGGCCTTGTAATGCATCAGCCTCTAGCGGAGCACCAGCTTCCCCTGCCTCTTCCCCTGCCCCTGCCTCTGCCCCCTCCTTTGCCCCTGCCTCTGCCCCTTCCTCTGCCCCTGCCGCTGCCCCTTCCTTTGTCCCTTCCTCTGCACCTTCCTCTGCCCCTTCCTCTGCCCCTTCCTCTGCCCCTGCCTCTGCCCCTGCCTCTGCCCCAGCCTCTTCCCCTGCCTCTGCCCCTGCCTCTGCCCTTCCCCCTGCACCTCCCTTAGCTTTTTCTATGCTTGGGCGGTCAGCGCACCCTCCTTGCTCCACATTTCTTTGATCTTCAACAAAAACAGACCCTTCTGTCGTTCCCTCCTCTCCATCCCCCTCCTCTCCTTTCCCCTCCTCTCCTTTCCCCTTCCCTCTGTTCCCCTCCTCTTCTTTCCCGTCCTCTCCTTTCCTCTTCCCTCTTTTCCCCTCCTCTTCTTTCTCCTCTTCTTCTTTCCCCTCCTCTCTTTTCCCTTCCCCTCCTTTCCCCTCCCCTCTTTTCCCCTCCTCTCCTTTCCCCACCTCTCCATCAATCTTCTTCCCTTCTCCCGTGTCCTTCCTCCTCTCCTCTTCCTCCCCTCCGCTTCCATCCATTCCACTCATCTCTGAAAAGAGAAACGTCCGGTCCTCTGGCGGTTTTAGAGGCTCCATTTCATCCATCTCTGAAAAGAGAAATTCCCGGTCCTCAGGAGCTCCCATGAAAATGTTGAACACGCTGCTGCGACTGGGAGTGCCGCTGCTGCTGCGGCTGTAAGTGCTGCTGGTGCTGCTGCTGCGGCTGTGAGTGCTGCTGGTATTGCCGGTGGTGGTCCTGCTGCTGCTGGTGCTGCTGCAGGAGAAAGAGGAGGCTGAAGGAGAGGAGTGGAAAACCTTATCAGCACTGTTGGGGCGAGGAGAATCGCAATTGCCCCAAGACCTGGAATCACCACTGCTGTCACGCTCTGCACTAGCTGCAGCAGCAGACACGTCTAAGTCAGCAGCAGAGTCTGCAGAAGAATCAGCATCAGCACTAGCAGAACCAGTACCAGCGACAACAGCAGTAGCACCAGCAGCACCAGTATCAGCAGAATCAGCACCAGCACCACGAGCAGCGCCTTTCGGCTTCCCAGTTTTCTTGTGTGTAGCATTGGCCAGGTGTTGTTGCCTGGGCTGCCTCCCGCCTGCTGTGCGCTCCACAGCAGCCAAACCAGCAGCAGGAGAGGAAGCGGGAGAGTGGTGAGGGGGGCGAGACGACGAGGAGGAGGAAGAGGAGGAAAGCGGCGAAGAGGAGAAGTTGGAAGCTTCCCCGGAAATTACCAGCTGTAGAGGCGCCTGCTGTCAGAAGGAGGACAAGGTTGGTTGGGGGCAGATCACAAGGAGAGAGCGAGAAAGAAAAAAACGAACTGAGAAAGTTCCGAGGCCGACAAATCTGGGACAGATCACGAGGAAAGATGGGAACAGCAATCGGTGAGAACGTTTTGGGTCGACTCAGAACAGCAATCGGTGAGAAAGGGGCCCAAGAGGACACAGACGGCACAGTGGCAAGACATGGAGGAAAGAAGGGAATTGAACACCAATCTGGCAAGAAATAACTGGACAGACTAACCCTAAACCTGACACAAAAACATGGAAGCTAAAACCCTAAACCTGACCCAAGAAAACGAAGCGAAAACATAAAGCTGAACCGAGACTTAGAAGCCAAAGCCTTAAACCAGACCTGCAATTTGGAAGCCGGGAACCCAAACCTGACCTGAGGCACGAAACCGAAAGACCAATATTCAAAAGCTGCTGAAAGTTGGAATCCAAAACCCAGAACCTGAAACCTGGAACTCGCAGCATGACACCCTTCTTTCAGGAAAAGACAATGGGTTTGGAGTGAGCTTTACCTTCCTTTTAGTAGCCTTTCCTTTTGAGAATTCTCAAAACACAATGGGTTTGGAGTGGGCTTTACCTTCTTTTTAGCCTTCCCTTTTCCTCGCTTCGACTGAGGAAGTGTGGTTTGCTTGCCCTTTTCCTCCCCAGATGAGATATCTCTCAGCATTCCCAGAAATCTCTGTTTGTCGTTGCCCTCCCCCACATCACAGCAACCCTCCTCCTCCCAACCACACTCAGTCACACCCGCTCCTTCTAGTTTCACCCTTGTGACATTGAGACGAGGTGAATCCTGAGTCAGCTCAAAAGCACCCTCTTCATAATCACATTCCGTCACACTCACTCCTCTTCTCACACCAGCCCTTCCTCCCAGTCCAAGCCCCCCCAGACCCATCGGAGTCAGAGTCGGAATATCCCCATTATTAACAGTCCCGTTTTTGGAGGCAGTTCTCTTCTCGAAAGCAGCTGCAGTATCGTCCTCTGTGTCCTTTAGTGCCTGTATTTGTAGGCTACTATCATCAAATGGTTCACTATACGCCACCTCACTATCACCATAAACAGTTTCACCAGAAGCAGCATCATCAGAACCCAAACTGACAGCAGCACCAGCACCATCACCAGAACCATCATCAGCATCAGCAGCAGCAGCAGCATCAGCAGCACCCAAAACAGAATCTCTGTCTTTGCTGTTCATCTGCTTCTTCTTTTTCAAACCCCCCTTCCCCTTCCCCACCCCCTTCCCCTTTCCTGCCCCCTTCCCCTTCTCCACTCCCTTTGATTTCCCCGTCAGCTTATCTTTGGCCTTTCCCACGTCTGCTTCCTTCCCACACCCTTCCGAGATGGACATCCCTCCATCAACACTGCTCATGCTGCAAAAACTACTGTTCATGATGCTGGCAGCTGCGGTAACGGGTGGCAAGGGCTCGTTTTCTTCTGCCGCAATGATGCACTGCAGCACCCTGGCCGGCGGGAAGGCCTCATCCAATGAGGTGACAGCACCATAAAAACCAGCATTCCCGTTCCCACTCCCACTTTCATTCCCACTCCCACTCCTACTCCCACTCTCATTCCTGTTCTCATTCTCACTCCCGCATACATTCTCAGTATCATTCACCTTCTTCCACTCACTCTCATCCTCTTCCCTCTCACTCCTCTCCCGCCTGCTTCCACCATCCTCCCCACAACCCTTCCCCTTACTCCCGTCCGCCTTTTCCACTCCTCTCCCCACTCCATCCTCCTCCCCTCTTCCCTTTCCTCCTTTCCCAGCCCTTGCCAACAGCGGCAGCAGCCCCCCATCTCCTCCCCCCATCCCTCTCGGTCCCCCCATCCTTGGCCCTCCCCCCATGTCTACCCCTCCCCTCTTCCCTGCCCCTCTTCCCCCCAACGGCAGCAGCCCGCCGACTGCTCTTTCCCCTCTCCCTGCTTCCCCATCTCCTCCTCCCCCTCTCCCTGCACCTCCCCCCAGCCCTGCCCCTTCCCCTATCCCTGCCCCACCCCCCAGCCCTGCACCTCCCCCCATCCCTCCCAGCAGTGCTGCCCCCCGCGAGCACAGCAGCTGGAAAAACATCTCCTCGTGGCTTGCACGCCAGCTGTCGCTCAACGATTGAATGCGGGCAATGCTGGGAGGAGGGGCGTGCACAGTAAACTGCTCACTGCCAGCAGCTGTAGCAGTGGTGGCTGTAGCAGTGGCGGCTGTAGCAGTGGCGGCTGTAGCGCTCACGGCAGTCTGAACGCTGCTGGCACCTTGTCCCTCTTTCTCTCCCTTGCCTGCTTTCGCACCCGCTTTCACTGCTGCACTGCCCCTGTCGCCCTCCTTATTCCCCTTTCCCCCCTTTTTAAGAACGCCCTTTCTTTTAGTCACTGCTGCAGCTTTCGTGCCTTTCTTCCCAGCGCCCTTGCCTTTAGCAACGTCAGCTTCAGTCACATCTCCAATTGCCACGTCAGCAACAGCCACATCGCCATCGACAACAGCCACATCAGCACCAGATACATCAGCAGCAGCCGCTGCTGCTACATCCACTGCAAACGAAACAGGCCCTGCTACATCCGGTCCTATAACTGCTGCTACAGACCCTGCTACATCCTGTCCTATACCTGCTGCTACAGGCCCTGCTACATCCTGTCCTATACCTGCTGCTACAGACCCTGCTACATCCTGTCCTATACCTGCTGCTACAGACCCTGCTACATCCTGTCCTATACCTGCTGCTACATGCGCACCTACACGCCCTACCACATCCGCTGCTACAGCTGTTGCTACAGATGATGATACAGGCGATGCTACAGATGATGCTGCAGATGATGCTACAGATGGTGCTGCAGATGATGCTACATATGGTGCTGCAGATGATGCTACAGATGATGCTACAGATGGTGCTGCAGATGATGCTACAGATGGTGCTGCAGATGATGCTACAGATGGTGCTACAGATGATGCTACAGATGGTGCTACAGATGATGCTACAGATGGTGCTACAGATGGTGCTACAGATGGTGCTGCCTCTGTTTCTGCTACAGGCGATGCAACAGACGCTGCCACTCCTGCTGCTGCTGCAGATGATGCTACAGATGATGCTGCCACCGGTTCTATACAAGGCAACTCAGGGGCTGCATCACATGCTGCTTGCGAATTCCCAGTCTCCTGCACAGTTTCATAGCTATCCCTTGACAGAACTGCCTGGTTGCTGCTACTAAGTGGGGGAGTCATAGCTTCAATAGCTCCAAGTGCAGGTCTGTGCAGTGTGGGGTGTTCTTGAGGCTCCTCGAGAACAGATGTACAAGCCGTAGCTTCAAGTGCAGGTGCCTGCGGTGTGCCAGGTGCACACGGTTCTTGAGGCACCTCGAAAATTGTCTCCTCGCACAGTAGGGTTTGGTTGTCGCTACCAGATGAAAGGGCTATGGCTTCAAGTGCAGGTCTCCGCAGTGTAAGAGATGCTGATGATTCATTGTCACACCCTGCTGCTGGCTCTGCTAGAGATGATGCAAAAGCCTCTGGTACAGGCTCTGCTACAGATGCTGCTACAGGCTCTGCTGCTACAGCTGTTGCTACAGGTGTGGCTACGGTCTCTGCTACAGCTTTTACTACAGTCTCCACTACAGGTGCTGCTTCAGATACTGCTATGGATGCTCCCACACGTCCTGACTCATTGTCACCCTTCACATGATCAAATCTTGCACTTGCCTCCACACCATCTGCCCCTCTCTCCTCCGATGCAGCTCCATACCCCCCTTCCCCTTTCCCCTCCCCCTCCCTCACCACTTCCCTCTCCCCCTCCCTCTCCCCCTCCCTCTCTCCCTCCCTCTCCCCCTCCCCCTCTCCCTCCTCCTCCCTTTCCACTTCCCTCTCCCCCTCCGTCCCCACTTCCCTCCACACTCTCTCCCCGGCCTTCCCACCTGCCCTCTCCTCCCTCCTCTTCATCCTCTCCTCCCTCCTCTGCTTCTCCTTTCTCGCTCTCTCCTCCCTTTTCTTCCCCTCCTTTATAAGCATCTCCTGCCGCTTCATTATAATCTCCTGCTTCGCCAGTGCTGCTTCCAGCTCACAAGCCATCTGTTTTTTCAACCTGCCCGCATCAAACCTCTCCTCCAAACCTGCACCTTCCACTCCCGATAAAGCAGAACCCAATGGCCCTGCTACACGCTCCGCAGCACCCAAACCCACGATTTTAGCCCCATTCCCTTCCCTTTCCTTTCTCTTAACATATCCACTCTCCTCCTCCTCATGACTCTCTTCTTCCCTCCATATGCCCACAAGAGCAGATGCAGGCGGCCCTGCTACACACTCCACTCCACTCACACTAGCTCTCTTCACTCCCCTGTTCTCCTTGCCTCTCCCACACTCCTCCTCCCCCCTCTCCACCTCCCTGCTTTCCTCCTCCCACCTTTCCTCCGCCCTCCACATACCCGATAAAGCAGCGGCAGGAGGCCCTGCAACACACTCCACCGCACCAAACCCCACCCTCTTCCCCTTCCCCTTCTGCTTCTGCTTCACCCCTTCCTCCTTCCCCCTTTCCTCCTCCTTCCCCTCCTCTTCCTTGCCTCTTCCGTCCTTACCCCTTCCCTCCTCCTTGCCCATCCCCGCCTTCCCAGCAGCAGCACCACCACCAGGCATCAGGGACAAGGAGAGGAGTTTAGGGGGCCGCAGGAACCTAGGGGCGTGGAGGGAGCTCCTAGAGAAGCCCAGGAAGGGAAGCACGGAGCTTGGCGCCTCTGTAACCATAGCTTGGTTACCAGCAGCACTCGGGTTACCACCCGTTTCTCCAGCCGTAAGAACAGACCCAACTGCACCGAACGAAGAAGGCGCAGCAGCAGGAACAGTCAATCCAGCGGCCGAAAGTATCCTCTCATCCCCTGCTGCACCCCTTGATCGGTCCCTATCTAAGCCCTGCGAGCCCTGTGAGCCCTGTGAGACCTGTGGGTGGGGGAACACCTGTGAAGGCCTGGGGTTGGTGGTTGGGATGTGGTTCGAGCTGGTTAGCTGGGAAGTAGAGAGGAAGCTTCTTTCTTGAGGCAACAACACGTACCGGCTCTCCTGAAACTGGGCGGAAGCTTCTTGCTGCTGCTGCCTGTGCCGAGGATTTTCTTTCTCCTGCCCAGAGTGCGTGTTGGGCAGCTTCGAAAAGAGTTTGGCCATGAGCTGGTGTTTGTGGCTGTGGCGAGCGGTGGGGGTGCGTGGGGGGTTCTGTGCAGTGCTGTGGGGGATGGGCGGGTCTGTTATGAATGCTGCAGTGTGGAAAGAGGAAGCGGGTGGAGAAAGGTTGAAGTGGTGGTGTGATGAGACAGCGGAAGAGGAGGAGAGGGAAGGGTAGGATCTTCTTGATGCTGGTAGTGCTGATGCTGATGCTAGTGGTGATGATGATTGCAGTGGTGAGTCTGCAGTGGCGGTCCCTCTGCTACCAGCAGTGCCACTGACGCCAGAATTTTTCTCCGGGCAGCTCAAAGGAATTGATGCTAAGCTGAGATTCTCCAGGTAGCTCGCCTCCCAGATCTTTTCAATATCTGCCCGGTGTGTCGGGAGCATTCCTCCTGCCCGAGAAAACGCCACGTGGACCGGTCTGACTGCCCGGCCATCCGCAGTCATCACACCCCACGCTTGGGCAGCATTCCGGGCAGCATTGAAAGCCGTTCGCGGGGGCGCAAGCTGCCCGGAAAGCTCAAAAGAAACAGGAGAATCGCCAGGTTGAATCTGATCACAACTCTGCAGCCAGTCCCGTACACTATCCACCACGCCAGGTGCTTTAGCTTCTAACTCCTGTGCGTCTTTAATCTCCCCGCATACCCTTAACCATTCTCCCTGCTCCCCCATATGACCAAATTCATGCTCCACCTGCTGCTGCTGATCCTGAACTTCTGAAACTGCACAGGTCACTAGTTTCCACGAAATTGCGTCAGGAGCTGCATCCGTCACTGTAGCGAAGGCTCCAAGAACCCTCACTACAAGAACATCCCCTGGGAGGGCTGCTGCTCCACTGATTTCCACTGCCTGCATCGGCGCTCCTGATTGGACGGCTTGATATGGAGAAACTCCGTTGCCAGTAACAGGGTAACCAAAAGAGGGGTGGGTAGGATTAGTGATGTTACTGAAATAGGAATCATTAGAGTCTCGAACAAACCCGTTGCTGTCGTCGAAACTGCTCCTAGAAAGGTCACTGCTCCTGTTCTTACTGTTGCTGCTTCTGCTGTTGTTGCTGCTGCTGCTGACAAAACTGCTGCTGCTGCCGTAACTGCTGCTCCCACTGCTGCTGCTGATCTGAACCCACGTCTGAGGAAGGAACCCGATATTGTATGGTGCGTTATGGGAATAGTGAGACGGCCTGCCATCGTGTGCAATTATCCGCAATGGAGTGAAATCCTCGTCAGCTGCAGGCTCCACCCGTAACCATGAGCCACGTGGCGTGGTAACCACCATGTGTAGCAAAGGCGCACTGGAAGGCTCTGACCAATCGCATTCTGTCACGCTGGAAGCGTATCCCGCAACTGGTGACAGATACGAAGCTGCCAAGTCGGTCCGGCCACTGACGTGGCATCTTGGGGAGGCGTATAGCGGGACGTGGTGCCACGTGGACACGCCTCGTCCGTCGTTATCAACAGTAATGGCACGCCACCGGAGGCTACCGGGCTTCCCGAACTGAATGATTCTTCCCATGATTAACTGACTGACAGGCTCCCCCCTCGCGATGCTTAAATCGACTTAACGGCACGACTGTTACACTGATAGCACGCCAACGGCTCTGGTGTGACAACAACGAAAGCTCCCGCTTCAGCACGCGTACGGCGCTGATGCGACAGCGTCGACAGCTTTCGGGATGACGTATCCTTGTGCTTCCGTAGCTGCTGAAACAGCATGAACCGCTTAGGCTTCGTTTGCTGCCTGAATACCCCCGTACGCGGTGCAAGCACCGTACTACGACCTCTTATAAGTGAACGCCGTGCTCCTATAGCAGAGCATTTAGGGGGTCCTTCGATCATCGTCCGGGCCATCATGACATTTCGCGTGTCAGTTTCTAGACGAGTATCGAAACTATGAGACAACGTGACTCTCTAGAAATGCGAAGCAGCATTTGAACTAGAAACTCTAACGACGCGCGAGCCATCAACCGTTTGCTACAATGCTTCTAAGTCAAGTCATTAAGAACAGGCGAGACTATCAGTACGCGAACTGGTATGGTTCGAAATAACTAGCGCGACTGACAGCAGAATGTGGAAGGAGTGCGTTTGCCTGTCCTTCCGCCTTGGGGTTGTCATTCAGCCTAGAAGTTGACGCGACCACCGAAGAGAAAAATCGTGGCGGGAGGAGCTTTGCTGATAACGGGGATTACATCTGCCGAAAACTACCAACCAGTCGTATGCCCACAGTCTTGTATCGGGTGTTGGCGAAGTGGGACGAGAGGTCCATTGCATATTCGTAGTGCACCAACACTGCAAAAAAAACTTAGGCTAGCAGCATGGTAACGTTTAATCTATATCTAGCCCTGCTTTGTCGTGGTGTGTGCTGATGAATGGAAGTTTCGAAGTAAAAAAATGTAAAACGGTTGCATCTAGACTAGCCTTGAACGTTACCTCTAATTTCTAGCATAGAAGACCCAAACTGTGTAGTATAATATCAATCCCATGCATGCCACAACAGCATTTTTAAGCTTAACATCGCATCTAGCATCATCATTCTCCTTCAGGCCTCGGCCATTCAGCTGCAAGGGAGAATGGGTGGGTGGACGAGAGGGAAGCCATATGCAAATGTGAGTGAAAACGTCAGAATACTCTCCCCTTCCATGTCCCCACTCCCCCCCCCCCCAACTCCCAACCTTCCTCCCCCAAGAAATAACCACTCCAAAACTGCCCTTCTTGGTAGGTAACTAGTCCCTGATCTTCCAACCACCCCCTCACAACAGTCACTTACTCGCACTTCTCTCTCCCATCCCCTGTAAGAGCCACTAACTCACATTATATGAGGGTTTGGGAGGAGGGGGGGCGGGGGGGGGTAGATGTGGCATACGAAGGAGAGCGGGGCCCCAGCTCTCCCCACAAATTCCCCACCACCCTGTCCCTCTCATTTCGCTCATTTACAAAAGAACACTCACTCGCTCTTGAAGGAGCAGTACATGTGGCGTACCAGAACATCAAAGCCTGAAATCCCCCGAGTTTCTGCCAAACACCCTTCCCAAATCGCCGCAGACCACCCTCAATCACCCACTTCTCTCTCCCTCCACTCAGCCCCACTTCTTCCTGGAACATGCTTCCTCCCACTGTTTTTGAGGCGCCTCAAAAATAAATTTCCTGCAACATACTTCCCCACACTTGATTGAGGCGTGGATGCAGCACACAAAGGATAGCAAGGCGCGGAGCCCGTACTCTCCCCAAAACACCACCCCAGTCTACCCTCAACCGGCCGCACCTCTGCCCCTCCCCTCCCCCTCCCCTGCCGTTCTTCACCTCATTCCCTCAACCACTTTCTCGCACTAGCTGGAGCGGTAGATGTGGTGCACGAAAGACAACCATGCCTAGAAAGCTCCTATTATCCACCAAGTCTCCCCCCACCCACACTTCCCTGATCAGCCCTCAGCACACTCTCCCCCTCGTATCCCCCTTCATTTTTGGAAAAGCATACTCAAACTTGATAAAGCAGTAGAAGTGGCCCACAAACGACAGCAGGACGCAGAATGCCCTACACCCCTACTCCCCTCCTCCCCCTCACCTCCCCTCGCAGCTCCCTTCCCTCCTCCTAAGGGACACTTACTCGCACTTAATCGAGCGGTAGATGTGGCGCACGAACGACAGGGAGGCGCGGAAGCCCACAGTGCCGAGCATGAGGAAGAAGCCGTAGCAGACGCAGGCCATGAAGCCAAAGTAGAAAGACGTCTGCATGAAGCCGGTCATGTCTGAGCGAGCGTAGTAGTAGTAGAAGCAGTAGCCAAAGATGAAGAGTGCAGTGGAGCCACCACACAGCACAGACCTGAGAGCAATGGGAAAGGGGAAAGAGGTGGTGGAAGAGGAAAAGAGAGAGCGGGGTATGGTAGTCGAGGATGAAGAGTAAGGTGGAGCTATCACAGAATGAAGTTTATACTGGAAAAAACAAGGATTCGTTTCTATGCTTGAGAAAGCCAAGAGCCAGCAGGATTGGATTGAGGGTGGTAGAAAGGCTGACAGGTTTTAAGGTTGGAAGGTAGCGTACCTCCACCACCACTCGTGGTCTTCCACAGCAAGCTGGAAGTATGTGAGCGCAATCGTGATGAACGCCGTCACAATGATGAGAATGATGAACACTATAAAGAGGATGCTGTAGATCGTGTACACCTTGTGCCCCCACACGCTCGCAAAGATGTAATACAGCTCGATATAAATCGCACTGAACGGCAGGAACCCAGCCATGGCCATCTGAGGCACAGTGTGGCGATACCAGGGCAGCACCGGAATCTCCCTCGGGTACTTAGTCGTCCGGCAGGGCGCCTGGAACTCTGCGTTGCTCTTCTTCCCGGCGATTCCGCCAGCCACGAGGAGGGGGAAAGTGATGAGCGCCCAGATGAGGATGATGATGACGATGGTGCCAAAGGGCTTGGCGTTGGTGGAGTTGTAGACGATGGCGACGGTGTTGAGGAAGCAGAAGGAGATGAACACCGGTCCGCAGAACATGCACCCCGTCAGCAGAATGTTGCGCACCTGTAGGTGATCGGGCGGGGGAAAGAGAGGGGGAGAAGGGGGGAGGAGAGAGGCAGGGAAGAAAAGATGGAGGGGAATAGGAGAGAGGGGGAAGAGGGGTATGAATGGGTGAGGAAAAGGATGAGCGGATGAGAATGACTGGATCGGTGAGGGAAATTCGGCAGGAGTTTGATACACCTCACGGATGGACTTGAACGTAGGGTGAATTGATGTTCATAATAGCGCATAAAACTGCAGAGAAAGCAGGTTTCTGTGCAGAGTAATCCCTGCACCTTTTTAGAGAACCCTTACTCGCATGTCCCTGAAGCCTAATCTTAATTGGTCCAGCCGAAGGGAGTCCAACGAATACCTTAACCTGCGTGGTTGCAATACCAAGATTTTATACCAAAATATTACAGACATCTTTGGTTCGTTTTCTCTGTATCCCTGGTCGGTTCCAAAACTGCATTGCACTCACCCAGTTGGTGCCCTCCATCTGCT